TTTTAATATTTTAATTTATTTTAATTTATCATTTCGGACATTTATGCGTCGCCCACCGGCGGCCCGCTGTGCTTTCTCTCTCTCCTCTCTCCTCTCCCCTTCATCCAATACGATACAGTACTTACAGTACTTACAGTACAGTAGTAGCGGCCCCACCATCCACGACGGCGCGAGATAGGATACGCTACGCTACGCTACGAAAGAGGGGGCTGTGATGTTGATATGATATCGATGTGATGTTGATATAATGTTGATATTGACGTGCTTGGTATACCAGTACCAGTACCAGTACCAGCACCGAAACCAGTACTCCATCTCGGCGACCTAAGTCACCTACCCACCTCCCTCCCTCCCGTACCTACCATAGGAACAAGCTCAGCGCTGGAGGTGGAGGTGGGTGGAAGAACGGACTCGAAAGCTAATCAAATCAAATCTAATCAAAGCAAATCAAATCACTCAAAATCCTGCTGTTCAAATCACATCACATCACATCACATCAAATCACTCAAAATCCTGCTATTCGGGGAGAACAGGTCCCTGACCTGACGTGACCTGACGTGACGTGACGTGACGTGACGTGGACGTGACGTCTATCCGAGAAGAGGATCCCGGCGGGCCCACCCAATAGGAAAAAAGGGTTTTGCTTTTTCCGGACTCGCGAGCGATCTGCGCCGGTTAAACTGTTTGTTTGTTTTTTTTCCCCTTGGGCGGTGGGTGCACCTCTTGATACAGACATACATATATACATACATACATAGGTAAGTAAGTACCGTACTGAGGTAAAGCTGATTTGCGATCCGATCGATCTAATCGAGCGAACGAACGAGCGAACGAACGAAGGAACGTGCAGAAAAACGCTGCTGCAGAATGCGCTCTGAAAACTGCCCATCAGCCACAGGCCACCGTCTCGAAAATCAAAAACACTGGAAAGCCACGGCATGCACTCATGCACTAGGGAACGGTCCGTCTGTCACTTGTCATGTTCTCTTGCTGCACATGGGGCGGGTGTGACACCAATATTTGTGGGATACCCAAGTATGATTCGCCTAGAGAGAGACCAGTCTATGAAGAAAAGAAAAAAGAAAAAAAAAAAAAAAAAAAAAATACGCTTCGCAGCACATGGAGGCCCCACTGCACAACATGATTTCCATGAGCGATCATCAAATCCAATGTCGAGTCCAAATTTGTCGTTCGGCCTCATTCCCGATGAACTGCATGAATCAATATGTGTCTGTTCTGACTAAGTGATGACTGCATCATACCGTGAATGGCACCTCCGTGATATCCTCGAATCCCTCGTCGACCTGTGGACGTCGGTACCGGGACCCGAACCCCTTGAATGCCATGCTGGGGAGGATCGTTCGTTTTTCTGGGTTCATCTGTATGTACAGTGATTAGCAGAAGCTCCACATGCGAACTCGGACTTTCTGCATCGGGGCATGGAGCCGTGGTTGAGCCCAAAATAAATATCGGTTGAGGGCCAGGGAGCCCGGGAGCGCATACCACATCGTTCAGAGCTCGCACGGCATCGTTGTGTTCACAAATCTGAGATGCTGCTGTGAACAACACGCAACGAATTGGTACAGCATGCTTAGCAGCCAATTCGATCCATTTCTTCCGAACTTCGGGACATGCATTCGTGTTGTCTGCATTTGCGTGAGGGTCAGAGGGTGGCTTACACGCAGCGGCAACTTACCAATAGCTACAGATTTCCCTTCTGCGAGACACACTGCCGCTGCCTTGAGACACTTCTCTCGCTACTCGATTATCAGCCGATTTCGGGGGTTCCCACATGACGGTGAAACGTACCGTTTTTAGAATGTCTTGATTGATTCTGGTGTAGCCAAGATGTTCAAGATTTCTAAAGAAGAAAGTCGACTTTCCAGCGCCTGGACTGCCACAGAACAAGACAATGTCGCAGTCGTGCTTCTTTTCATAGGGTTCGGAAACTATAGGACCGTAAGCGGAACTGGCCACTTGCTCAGGTGACACCGCACAAACCTTGAGCAGGAGACAGGTCGACGCTGTAAGACACACGGTCAGTATTTGCCTTGCTTAAGTATTTTCGGGAGTAAAATGACAGATATTCCCATGTATTCTGAGACAATCGCGTGTGGGAGATAATAAGCTGCCTCGCTACCTACTAGTCGGCAGGATCGAATGGACGAGTAAAAGGGCGCGGTGCTTCTCCGAGAAAGAATTCCTCCGGAGTGTAGAACTTAACCCCGATGTTACGAGCAAAGTTCCTGCTTGATGTTAGTGTAGCAGGCGTATTGCGAAACGTGAGAGGTACCGGTCGGAGCACGAGAAGTCTTTTGGCTGACCGTTGGATGCATCACGACCGCCAGCATCGCCGACGAAAATCGAGTTGTCATGATCAACAAAATCTGGGCTGATGTCGTAGTCTTGGAGTATCTCCGTCCACATACCCGGTCTTGGCTTCCGATAGATGTCTTTTCCAGTAGCAGCATAGATACTCAGGGGAATGTCCAGCTGACCTAACACAACCGAAACCTTGGATTTGAACGACACCAACCTGGAAAGATGAGCCTTCGGAGCTTTGGCATCGGCTTTCAGGGAAATTCCTCCTTGGTTACTAACGATTACGACCCGAAAACTGTGTGATCATAAGTGACATGATGCTTTGAAGGGCCAGACTAGAGTGTTGAGCTTACCCCTCGTCCGTGTATAATTTCCGTAGCTTTTCCGGAACAGACGCGTGCCACCATTTCCAGTCTTTCGCATCTGTGGCGTGTTTTTTGCCCGATGCAGTTGAGATGAGAGTCGAGTCCTCGTTGACGGGTCAGAAGGGTTCAGCGAGGTCAGTGGGGTACGGGAATAAGAGCATATCCTGTACCTACAAAGTCAAAAGCTGCAATTTTGTACCTCTTGCTGTTGCCAGCGATAGACTTCGAGCATGACGAGGAGCTATCCGGAGCCTGGTATTTACCGACGACGAGCGTGCTTGGTGTGTCATCATTCGGCGCGCGCTCTTGCCACACGATTTTCTCGGGAGGTTTCTGGGAAGCAGGGGTGAAGAAGGACGCAACAGCGGTTTCTTTATTAGATATCAGTTGAGATGGTTCCAAAGTCGGTGGAAGCAGTAGGTACGCACGTGTTGTATTGGACTGGAGCTTCCTTCGCAATGGTGGAGGGCTGATAGAAGCATCACGACCGAGCTTCCTTTTGGATTTCGGAGAGCTCACCATGGTAAGCAATGATCTCCGAATGGTTTGTTTGATGAAGATATCCAGAGTGGCGCTGATTTTTACTTGAGGGTGCGCCGACGATGAAAGAGCATCAACATAGAGTTGAGTTGCCGACAAGGGACGTGCACCGAATTCTCGCGTTAGCACGTGGGGGGAACCTCTTACCCTTTTCTGCGGTAGGCACCAGCAGACTCGCTCGCATTGAAGTAAGGTTACACTTTTGAGGGCGTATTGACGAGATATACTAGTATCAGTCTCGACGCTTATCAATGGCAATATATGTTTCCATGTCATATTTGCTGCAGGCTTTTCTTAACTCGTCTTTCTGTTCTAGCCATGGCTGACTCACTTCCTAGTATCGCCCCTTCCTTTCTGAGCATCACTCCCAAGGCATGGGATCTTCTTGGACTTTCAGGATATCAGAGTTCTCAGTGCCCTTGTGGAAATTACCAGGCCTCTGCAGATAATACAGCCTTGCCTGTGCTGAAGCAGGGCTGCATCGAAAGCAGTATGCCTTTCGAACATGTTAGAGCCATTCTGTAGCATTTCTAGCATCACTAAGGCCACGGCTCATCAATCAGCGGGAAAGATTTGAATAATGTACTCATGAATCTCTCTCTTTCACGTCTTAACGGATAGCCAGTGTTGGGCCATACATCACAGGACAGCAGCCCTTTGTCTTCCTTAGTCTAGTATTAATGAATGACAATAGGGAAATCATGCAGCCGTTCAAAAGGAAACTTGAGCTGCCAATAAAAGCCGCTGCTTCGAGTTCGGCTTAAAGAATTCCGGTGCCGCTCTATCTTTCTTCAAATGATCGAACATGACGTTGGTGGTGTAAACACCATTTCTCTTTTTCGCCAAGAATGAAATGCTGATGCTGAGCAATAGGGAGCATGACCAAGTCCTGAGAATACACGTTATAATACAGCTCACGATGGAATCATGACAGCAGTAAAATTCCACAGAGGAAGATTGTGCTCCAGATAAATACAATGCTAGCTCTATGAATCTAGTATTGGGATCAGCGAAACCTCGAATTTTCAAATGCCTGGTTCGATGCACATCATAGATTAACAATTCTTCTTACTGATTGCAAAAAGTCGACATCAGAAAGATCTCTGAGTTTATGACTCTTCGATACATGGCCAGCAAAAAAAGGACCGGGACTTCGTGGCACGCACTGCCGGCGTGAAGCCCGCTCGCCCGGGACTTCGGCCACAGGTCCTCAGAGCATGTACAGCTTGTTTGGGCATAGAACGAATCAGCTCAAACGAAACCTCATGACGTTCATGTGTTAGGTATATCCCATATATCTCGCAACCCTCCCAGGATCGTTAAACCTAGCCTTCGATCAGACGAACATCGAGTCCAAGAAAAGGGCAGAAGAACCCTAGATCCCAGAGAGTAGCGTCCTCGCCCACTCCACCCAGGCCGCTGGGCACCATACCAACTCCGTCCACGCACCAATGGCAAAGGCAAGGTGCCGTGAACCATGGACAGAGTAGAGTACTGAGAAAAACGCATTTCGAGACGCAACCCTCTTTCTTCGAACCCAACCGGGGAGCTTGCTCATCTTCCACTCCCTAACAAAATCATCAGCACATTCCAAAATTCAACCTGAAAACAAAAATCACTCGAGCTAATTAGCTAGCCCCACTTGCGCTGTATCCAATAAGCTAGCTTTGGATCGGTTGTCGTGGGCTTTAGTCTACTACTGGCGCCTACTCGTCGAGAGCAGGCCGAACGAAGTGTTTTTCTAAATTCGACACCTCGGTTGACTGTGCTGAGAGCCAGAATAGACACAATTGCGAAATATCTGCCAATTGAAACTTCTTTTAGTCTGTGAAATAAGACGATGCCATAAATAAAGAGGGTAGGAGCGATGGCTTATTATCAGAGGCGCATCCAACGCATCACCAAGAAATTGGGAGCGTCTAGGTAGAACGTCAAGATTCATATCGGATGCCATCACCCAATTCTCTTCGCCAAAAACAAACTAGGCGAGAGGATCCAGTGGCATTTTCGGCATTGGCCCAAGCGGCATGAGAAGGCATTCTCCATCTCCACCTTCAACTCCCATGGTGGAAGTGCAGTCACTAGAGTACGTGCCACATAAAAATAACGAAACAGGACTGGGATGGCTCATGGTATTCATTGCATAGTCAAGGAACTGTCACTCCGTGCGGCCTGAGCTTGACTTGAAAACATGGCATTTATTCAGTATGGCCTCGAGAAGCCATCTGGTGCACGCATCCTGTGTAACCTGTCAAGAACTCCAATGCAATTGAGTCATCAGACCACCAAGAACTTTTCGAAACCTATCCATGAATTTTAATAGTCGTCTCCACGACTGAGGACCTCCTTGACGTTTGGTCGGAGTACGATGGTCTGATCTATTAGCAACGTGTGACGAGGGAAAGAGGCAGTGTCTCTTACGTGTTCGAATTGGGCAGTGTATGACCCCTTCTTATCGACCAACGGAGGATAGGCCTCTACGATGCCGGCAGAAACTAGATTATTCAACTTTATTTTGTCAGATATGACTCCGTAGGAAACAAGCAATCGAACCACTCACTCCAAGCAAGTACTTGTCCTGGCCCAAACGATCCAGATATCTCCTACAGAATGGTAAAGTGCCAAAGTTCTTGTTGATGACATTCAAAAGCTTCTTCGCTGATTCGACCCGCAACGGCACATTCTTGGGGCCATCCGTTTTTTTTGCATAATGCGAGCATTCGAGCTACATATATTAGCAGCGACTTCGAGTGGCATTGGAGGAACGCTCACATCGTCTCTCACATATCCGTTGCCGGTGCTACCAAAGGTCTCAATGGCAAACACCTCACCCTCCTCCATCTTTGTCTGGTCGTTGCTCTTCACAATCGGCACGCTCTTTCCACCGTGAATCTGCCATTGACGGATATCGTGCCCGTTCAAGTTGCGAATGCACTTGACAGGAAATGTGTCACCGTTAATCTCAACCTCATAACTCTCCATAGTCTCCTGAATAGCAGTTCCAATCTCTCCCAATCGAGCATCAATGCCCGCCTCTCTGATTCCTGTGTTGGTGGCTTGCTTGACGGCTTCGAGAAGACCATCGTACATCGGGTCGAATGACATAGTAAAGGCACTATCCACAATTCTACCGTTAATGTGCACACCAAAATCGACCTTCATGACATTGTCCTTGCTGAGGATAGTCTTGTTACCAGCGTTGGGGCTGTAATGCGCTGTAATGTGGTCCAGGTTGACACCTGTTGGGAACGCGATACCACCCTTCAGGTGGTCGCCCTCCTCCAAGCCTTGGTGTCCAGCCAAAGCTCTCACACTGTCCTCAATCCCCTCAGCAATTTCAGTCAAGGACTGTCCGGGCTTGATATTCTTCGCCGCATACTGCCGAACCTGTCGATGGATCTCGGCACCTTGTCTGAAGTCCTGCAAGACATCGTTGTTCATGCGATCAAGATGCCTCTTCTCCTCGTCCGTGGTCCGGTACAAGTTCTCGTCTCTGTACTCCACCTCTTCTCCAACGGGATACTCCCCACTGGGAAACAAACTCGATAGTAATACCCGGGGAGGCTCCGACTGCTTCGTAGGAACGACTTTCGAACCATTGGCCTTCTTTGGCTTCCTCTTTCTCTTGCGCTTTTTCTTGGCTCCCCCTTCTTTCCCGACTTCTTCTGCCTTCTCGTCCTCGTCGTCGTCAGAGTCCTCCGCGTCCGGGACCGGGCCTTCACTTTCGGCTTGTGCTGCGGCGGCAGAGGCTTTGATGGCTTCCGGATCTTTAGCTAGGAGTTTGTCAGTGTGGTTTGAGTTGGACAGGTCGGGAATTTTTTACCTTTCAAATTCGAAAGAGAACCAGTGGTGGCGGACGTCATGGTGTCTTGCAGGGCCAAGCCCAGTTGTGCCCACTGTTACAAGTAGGTCTTGCGTACTTATTTGTGTCGATTTCAATATGGCAAATGGTCAATGTCCCTCAAGAAACAGGAGAGAAGCTCGTGTGCCCAGCGAGAAATCTCTCGAGAGAACAACCAGCCGGGCATGGAAAACAGAGACTCCGCAGCTAGCCGACAACGTATTTGCGGTTGCGGCGCACTAGCGACCTAAGTCGTCGCAGCCTTACCGGTAACGGGCTTAGAGCGGGGATGCCCGACATCATGCTGTCACTGGATGGGCATCACTCCTCTCCCTCGCAATTCCCACGATATCTCACGCAGGTACCTGAGCTTGTTCGTGATGAGGAATGCCATCCCGCTCCATTCTCTTCCCTCGCGCACCGCGTCTCCAACGGCTGTTCCATACAAGTGCTGCTAGACACAATCACTATGAGACCTTGCAGGTTTCCCCAGATGCAACACCAGCCGAGGTGAAGAAGTATGTCTCTCCCTACCATTCTATATACCTTTGGTGGTATACTGTTCCCTCGTGGCAGCAGCCGGCACTTCCAATGCCAATTAGACAGACCTTCAAGCAGACTACCTCTAACATAACAAAACAGGTCCTTCTACAGCCTCTCCAAAACCCACCACCCCGACCGCAACCCCGACGACCCGGGAGCAAGCGAACGCTTCGTCGCCATCTCCGACGCTTACGCAACATTATCTACCCCCGCTAAACGTCAAGAGTACGACCGCACCCTAGACCTGCACTCCTCTTCCCCCTCTTCCCACTCTAACGGCTCCCACTCGCATCACCGTCCCCACGGCTCCTACCACTCCTCCGGGCCCGCAGGAGGCCGCCCAGCAAGCGGCCTCAGCAGGCGTCGCACCCAATTTCGCGGGCCCCCACCAAGCTTCTACCGATCCGGAGGCTGGGGTGAGCACTCTGCGAAACGAAAAGCAGCGCACGATGCCTATGCCGAAACGGCGACAGCGGGGGAGCCCGGCATGGGGCCGGGGCAGAAGGCATGGGGACACGATGAAATGAATGATGTGCCGCATTTTGATCGCGAGAGCCATTATCGGACGCACGAGAGGCATAGTCAGAGGTGGCAGCGAAGGAAAGGGATGGAGGATCGGCAAGTGCCAGCGGGTGAAGTGCCTCCGAGCACGCTGGCAAACTTTTTGTTCGTAGGGGGGATAATTGTGGTTGGGACTTTGGTGCCGACTTTCATTTTTGAGAGAATGACCAGGACGGGAAAGAATAAGAGATGAAAGCTTGACATCAGACAGAGAGAAACATGAATACGGATAATGGACGCAACCAAGGCCCCACGACGTATGGATCAGAGCCAAAACCAGGCTGGAAGTTCCTCCTAACGGCCGGAAACCGGGTGTTACTCTGAAAACCGACTTTATGAACAGAGTCAACCGACAATGCAACTAAAATGTACTGTAGTCATTCAATCTCCGGGTCTGGATTTAAAGAAATCGCCTTGGATCATGTCAGCATTCTTATAGCGAGTTTGGAAACCACAGCTCTTTTCACCATGCTTTCTTTACCTTGATGAACAGGGAAAAGACAATCATACGCGCCTGAAGTCATTCAGCCGCCCCGTCTTAACTCACCAGAGCTCCGAAGCATTGAACGCCATGCTCAGACAGCGGTGATGCTGACCAGAAAAGCCCCAATGCTGTATGATTTTGGAGTATACGGAATCAAGGAAAGAGTATGAGCAAGTAGTGTGTGGTGGTGGTATTTTTTGGCGTTTTTGTACATAGAAAATCCGTCCGTTCCACGCAAAATATGCTATGCAAACTCCGCCAAAGAAACAACCTTCTTTCTTCCATCTATCGTACCAATGGCCCATCTATACCTCTGATGCATAATCTATGCGTCGAACTGGAAGGAAGTACCAATCTTGTGAGCTGCTTGGTCGAGCTTTTGAGTGTCGACTGAGGCGCCGAGACCAAGGGTGACACCGGGGCGGATGAGTACGTTGTAGGAGAAGGCGGCGATACCACGATCGTTGATCTTAGCCTAATAATGAAATATCAGTCAATAAGTCCCTTTTTCAAAGCCGCATAGTTCCTACCTTGGCGAAAGAGACGGGGTCAATGCGGTATTTGCTGGCAAGCTCAAGACCGACTTGGTTTCCGCTCTTCGAGTCCCAGGTAGCTTTGGCGCCGGCCTCGACGAGGGAGTTGACCTTGTGGTAGTACGCAGCTTGGAAGACGCTCAAGTTGCTGGCAGCAGTGATGGAGGCAGTGTATGTAGGGGCGGAATATCCAACAGCAGCAGAGTAGTTGGTGACAGCAGCTTTCTGGACATCGTATCCAGCAGAGGCACCAGCCAAGAAACCGTCTTGGCCAATAACAGCATCGACGGTAGCGGTTGGGCCCTTGAGGAGATCGAAGAGAGCACGGCCGTGGAAGTTGGATTGTTTGAAGTGTAGGTTGGCCTTCAAGCCCTTGTTCTGGCTCGCAGGGAGGAAGCTGCCCATCACCTCGGCCTTGAAGCCCTTGGCGATAACATCGTTGAGCTCAATCTTAGTGTCGAGAGCGTTGACCGTGTTCCAGGTTTGAGTGAGGGTAAGGCCTGCGCGGTAATAGAAAAGCATTAGCATGTGTGCTCCTGGGGACATTTCCACGACAAATCCAACAGGACTGTAATTGTACGGGTAGATGGAAACTATAGTAAGTCGTGGAAGAGAATATGTCTTTATAAATTTCTTTCTAGATGTACCATTTGGCTTGTCCACGAACTTGGCCTCCAACTGCAGGATCGGTCAGTATCTGTATGCGATCTCATTCCATAAGGGGCTTTCATACTGCTCCGCTATTTGCTCCGTCGTGTGTAGACTTTCCGGTCACCTTGAATGAAACATTGGATGGGGTGGAGCTCTTCAACTCGAGGGTAGCGGCGGAGAGGTGGTAGAAGTCCTTGTTGAGAAGCTGCAGAGCATCAGTCAGATCTGGGCACATGGATTTGTTTCCGAATATCAAGAGTCTGAATGTTTTCGGGAATGTTTCACGGAAACTGATGCTTCGGACGAGAAGCACTTCAGCGAAGTCAAGGCTGCACTTACGTCGTTGGATGACTTGGAGATATCTGGGAAAGCGGGAACAGACATGTTGGCGGTGGCAGAAATTCGATGGGCTTGAGGAGGTGCAATTGACTCGGAGGTGTGGATCTTGAAGTTTTGAGGGGATGGGAAAAGAAAGTCAAGGTTGCTGCTGCGCGGAAAGCTGTATGCGCGAGCGGTTTCTTCCGCGAGAGAAACGTGCCTTTTATTGGCTCGAGCTCCCAATCTGTGGCACCTGACTAGAAAGGGGCTTGTGCCTCTCCGTAAGACAAGCACGCAAAGCTTGGGATCAATGCCCTCAACATTTCAATACGATTTGGTGATGGCTCAGATTTCTATTATGGCAGTCGCCGCCAGTCTATTTTCTACAGGGCGCATCGTCCCAGAAACTATGCGGCGCCGAACTCGCGAAGTAGCAACCCAACATAGGTATCAGAAACTCCCGTTGTGCAATGAATGATTTGAAGGAAATAGGCGTCACCCATCAGATTCATGGCTTGTCTACCGAGACATTCTATTCCTTGGCCGAGTCATACTTTTGGTTGTGAGTCGCAATTGCTCTGGTTTCTTCATTAGCATCGAATTTTGGGGGATATCATCCATGTGCTCACCTTCCACTGGGATCGGTTTGTTTTGACCATGTCGGAGTCCATCGCATGACAGTGTCGGCGCAATAGGGGGGGAAGTGCTCATCGAACATTGTTCGGTACCAGTAACTGATGCTGTCAGTCATCGTTCAAAACTACGGCAGCTGCGCAGTACTCACGCTTCCTTGCTATCTGGAATATCGGCGCCCCATTCTGGCTTCGGGTTCTTCATCATCTCATCGGTAACGTGGAGTTCTGCTTGGTCTTTCAAGGCGTCGATCCATCCGTAACCAACACCATCACTGAACTGCTCCTTTTGTCTCCACAAGATGTGGTCTGGCAAGTATGGCTTTGCGCCAGGTTCATCCGAAGTATCGAAAGCCTTTCGCATGATATATTTTTCAATTCTATCTTTGGTGATCATCTTCTCCGCAGGGTCGATGTTCATGGCCACTTCCAGGAACTATTTACGCATCATTGGAATGTCATCTTAAAGTTGGTCAGGGTTTTCTTACCTCCTTGTCCAAGAACGGAACACGAGCTTCCACACCCCAAGCCATGGTTGACTTGTTTGCTCTCATGCAATCCCACAGATGGAGGTTCTTAACTCTGCGGACGGTCTCCTCGTGGAAAGCCGCCTTGTCAGGTGCAGCATGGAAGTACAGATATCCTCCGAACTCCTCATCACTACCCTCACCACTCAGAACCATCTTCACGCCCATGGCCTTGATCTTTCTAGAGAGCAAGAACATAGGTGTCGAGGCACGGATAGTAGTCACATCGAATGTCTCCAAGTGATAGATAACATCGGTCAACGCGTTCAAGCCTTCCTCGATAGTGAAAGTCATATCGTGGTGCTTGGTTCCGAGGAACTTCGCGACCTCCTTTGCAGCTTTGCTGTCTGGAGCACCGGGAAGACCGATAGAGAAGGAGTTCAGTTGTGGCAGATAGGTGACAGTTGACAGCTTGTCATCATCGTCAATACCAACCAAGCCCTCCCCCTTGTCAGTGTCTCCCTGAGCCTCTCCATTGGCCTCAATATTCTTCAGAGCAGCATCCTTCAAGCGCAGGTTTTCCCGCTGCGCAATTGAAGCAACCAAACTCGAGTCAAGACCTCCTGACAACAAAACACCATACGGCACTTCCGCCATCATGCGCTTTCGTACAGACTTTTCGAATGTCTCACGCAGCAGCTTCAAATCGAGCGGCTTTGAAGGAACCTTGGAGGAATCCCACCATGTGGGCTCGAAGTATCTGGTCGTCTTGTTGGTTTTTGAGTCATAGATGTGTCCTGGCGGGAATGCAATGATCTTGTCGCAAACCGAATGCAGGCACTTCAGCTCAGAAGCGAAGAATACCGCAGTTGGCATCTTACTCGACCATCCCTGATACAAGCTTGTTATTCCAATGGGGTCGCGGGCGGCAATGGTGCGGTCTTGGGATTTGTCGTAGAGGACGAAGGAGAACATTCCATCCAGGTGCTTGGGTGCATCGATGTCAAACTCCATGTACTGCAATGTATGTCAGCGCATTTTCTTCAAAGCTTGACCAGACATGTCTTTGCATGTGCCTTCACTTACCAGAGGAATGATAACCTCGCAATCAGAGTGCGTCTTGAAATGATACGGGGTCTTCAGGGTCTTCCGGATGACTCTGTGGTTGTAGATCTCGCCATTGACTGCAAGCGCAATACTCTCGTCCTGGTTGGTAAGAGGCTGCGCTCCACTGTCGACACCAACGATACTCAGACGCTCATGGGCCAAGACTAGAAAGTGTCAGTCATGTCATAACCATGATACACATCTCCAGCCCGTACTTGTGTTGTTTGCGACGTAGCTTCCAGACCAATCTGGACCGCGGTGACGGCATTGCTTGACCATCTTCAGAGCCGTCGCCTTGAAGGCCTTTGCGTCAGGCACGCAGTGACATCCTAAGATTCCGCACATTTTGAGAGTGGTGTTGATGTAGCGGTGGAGGGGGAGGTAGGTGGGGGGGGTGGGGGGGGGAGTGTACTGGGAACTAAGTTCCTCAAGAAATTGAGATTTTAAAGAACCAAAGGAAGAATCTCAGAAGGGGTCAATGGTGGATGATCCAGGAGCGATTGAGACGCAAGCAGAGAGGTGAGGTTGTTTGAAGGTAGGGCGTGAGTATGACTCCCATAAAGTATGCGATTTGGTTAGTGGGGTCAAATTTGAAGGCCGATGCTGGGAACCGAAGGAGGTTTTTTGTGGCTTGTGCTTGGACCGATAAGGCCCTTCCTGGCGCTTCGAAATATGCCTCCAATCTACAAAGTCACTGTCATGTGGCAGGAACTAGATCAATCTGGCGAAAGTCTTGCGTCGTTATCTTTCACATTCACTATCTATTTGCTGGCCCCTTTTGCGCCTCCAAAGTGGGACGATGGGCGAGAGGCCGAAATCAGCTGGTAGCCAGGTGATCCTCTCGTACAACCCGAAGAGCGAGCCTCCATCATGTCGAGCAGTCGTCTCACAGCCAACAGTTGATTCACCACGCCGCAAAATATTTCAAAGGTAAAGGCCCAGTTAGCATGTTCGCGCTTCTCTTCCCGTTCCGTCCGTAGCTCATCTGTCGCATTTCGTGAAACCCATGCCATCCATATGAAAGTCCTGTGCAAGTCTGCCATCAACACCGAAAACCCCCCTTTCATATCCGCTTTGAACGCCAATGCTCACTCTATCTCACCGCCACTGAAAAGCACTGCTCCCCTCTTTCGTGAGCCTCATGTCGGCCGATCACGGCGCCGGGTTATCCCGGACGATCTTCTTGATCTTGCTCTCGTATCCGGTGCGGTCCTTCTTGAAGAGGTTGTAAGCATCAGCTTGCGCGGGTGAGTCGGGGTTGGGGTCGTTGAGGAGGTCCTGTACGCCGAGTAGAATTTGCTTGATGGTAATCGCCGGCTTCCAGCCTTCCTCTTCGTTCAAGATTGATAGGCAGACCGTGCCCGAGGGGTAGACATTGGGGTGGAAGAGAGGTGGGGTAAATTTGCCTGCGCCCTGTCAGTTTGATGTCCCACGAAAAGATCACGATGTTGCTGCTGCATACACTTAGGTGGCTTCGTTGGATACTCTATAATGCAGTTAGTCGCAGAGGAGAGCAAAGGTTGCGGTTTTCGACATACCATCGGGAAAGACAACGTTGAGCTTGAATAGACCGCCCTCCCAAAGCGTCTTCTCCTTGCCTGGGATGCCACACTCCCAGACCTTCAGGTCGAGAACGCCTGCCGCATTGCGCTGAGGCTTTGCGTAGAACCCAAAAGGATGGTCTTTCCTCCACTGCTTGCGCTCCTCCTGCAGCCTGTTCTGACAGAGAGCCATTTTGGTTGGTATCGTAGATCTGGTATCTGGAGATGTAAGTGTCGAGTTGTTGGTTCTGGCGGAGGGCAGGCAGGCAGGCCAAGTTAAAATAGTTTAACAAAGGCAGTGAATTGCAGCCCAAATTCACTCGCTTACTGCAATACCCAACTTCTGAATTGAGCAATCTCTGAGTAGGCTAAAGAGTTGGTGAGGGGGCTCTAGTCAGGGTGAAGAGGTGAAGCCGGAGAAGGCGAAAAGTCGCGATCTAGATTTTGTAGTCGCGAAATCGCGCCTGATTGGAGAAGCGAGGATACAGTACCAAGGTGTGATTGCCTCGGTCTTGTTGGGAGTGAATCCAAAATTCCCTGCTTTTTGGAGCAATCAACATCGCTACTTTTGGGTTGATTATATACTACGGCTTCTTTTCATGTCCCAACAGAAGCTTTCACTTTTCTATTCAAAGAATAAAGTACATACCAATCGTCAACTAGTGATCAACACTAATCACAATCACACCCCGCACGACGCTCGCTGCCTGATCCGTCTTCATCACAAGCCACTTCTAGCTGCCAACAAAGATTCTTCTTTTCTGCTAGACGATACAATTTGAATTCGACTATGGAAACAAAGCCGGGTGATCCAGAGGGTTCTACTGCGACATCTGGCAAGACCATACAGAAAGATGCAGAAGCAATATCTAAGGACAAGGACCCCGCACCAAAGGAGGGAGCTCCGTCATCTCAAGATGCTTTCCCAGATCCAGACGAGGATGACCTGGACGATTTAGATGGTCAAACTTCCATTTTTTATCTACTTCGCATACCTACTATTCGCTACATGTCTTCGGATATAAGCATGACTGACTGGCGCCATAGATATGCTTGATGAGTTCACACCCACCAGACCAGAACCCCCCTCGCCATCCTCCAAACCCACCACAGCACCCAAGAACCCAATCGCAGACGGTATCTCCGATGAGGAATTTGCAGTACAGTTGCAAGCCGGTATGGCCGAGCTGATGGGCGAGCTCGAAACCTCCCCGGACATGCAGTCTCAACTGGCGCAGATGCTTAAGGAGCTGGGCGGAGGGGCAGCTCTGGACAGCGCAGCCGGCCAAAGTTCTGCGGCTGGACCGTCTACCAAGAAGAAACCTGCGGCGAAGAAGGAGGATGCTGGTAAAGCTGAACCGAGTTCCAGTGCGCCCGACGAGTCCTTCCAGGAGACGATCAAGAAGACGATGGAGCGCATGCAGAACAGCGGGGATCAGGCGACTGCGGCTGCCGCGTCAGATAACACGGATGATATCCTGGCGCAGATGATGAAGGCTATGGAATCCGGTGGACTAGATGGCGAAGGTGGCGAAGAGGAATTCTCGAAGATGTTGTTGGGAATGATGGAGCAGTTGACTAACAAGGAAATTCTGTACGAGCCGATGAAAGAGCTGAATGATAAGTTTCCAGGCTGGATGGAAAAGAATGCCGCGACGGTCGATGCAGCGGATTTGAAGCGGTATAGAGAGCAGCAGGTGTATGTTAGTGAGATTGTGAAAAGGTTTGAGACAAAGACTTATAAGGATGAGAATGTGGCGGACAGGGATTACATTGTGGAGAGGATGCAGAAGGTTCGTTGAGTGTGTACATTTTTACTGCCTATTGACTGACATCTTACAGATGCAAGCGGCTGGCTCGCCGCCTGCTGACCTTGTGGGAGATATGGCTTCTGCGCAAGAAGCTTTCGGGGGTCTCGACGGAGCTCCTGAAGAAGGATGTCCGACGCAATGAATAACAAGCCTGTGTATCAAACATCTCTGACATATATACCGGTGACCTGAAAGCTCATACATCTAGTAATACAATAATACTTTCCAAACCTTTCGCTGATGGCCGATGTACACTAACCCCCTAACGCCTACGCTAAACGGATGTGCATAGCAAAAATCAAAACAGTGATGTTCCGACAAAGTCCTAACTCAAATCCATCATCTCCTGATCGTTGATAGAGCCGGGTGGTTGTTGACTTGACATCCGGCTCTCTTCCTGAATGACATCCATGAAGATATTGTCATACTCATCATCATCGCTCCCGTAGATTGATTGCTGGTATTGCGACGCCTGAGTATGAACCCTGTCGTTGGTGCTCTCTCCAGAGAGCATATCCATCTCATTCGAAGGAGCATCGTCATGCGTAATACCCTGATCCTCAGGACTCAAGTTTCCCAACAGGGCCTCCAATTCTAACTCCTCGCTCATCGCAACCTCTTCAACCATAACCTCATCTAGCAACCATCAGCAATCCTCCATATTCTTGTAAAGATTCGGACATACCCAGATTCGTCAACCTCTCCTCCTCATCCTCCTCCGGCGGCTCTGTGATGCCCATAGCCTCCCTCTGTTTCTTTTCATCTCTTCTCCTATTCTCCGCAACCCACAGACACCGCATAATTTCCTCATCGCCTCCCCTCTCCCTCCACCTCTTCTCCTCACCGCCCTCCCGCACCCGCTTAAGAAACAGCTTCCTTCTCGTCTCTCTCCCATCATCTCCGGTCAACCCGCTCATCAACGGGTTAGCCTTCGTGGTACGTCTGCTATACGCGCTATGCCTCTTCGTTGGCGGAGGTGAGATCAGCGGGGTTCTGCTTGAAGTGTCCGGGGTTGTGGATGGAGACGTGAAGGTTGATTTGGGATTTGAGGAATATGAGCCGGGCTTGCTGGGAGACAACATGACGGTGTCTTGGGCGCGTGGAGGAGAGACATTGGTATCGCGAGCTGAGAGGGGGGAAGGAGGATTTCGCAGTGGCGAGGATGAGAGAGGCGATGGGTGGTTTGGCGTGTAATATTGCGATTGATTGTACGTGTAGGCGTGCGTGGGGAGCATGCTGAGCATCTTTGATGTGAAGGAGATAATAGTTGATGTTGTGATGTCGATGATATTGACCATGAGGGTTTGGGCGGGGTGGAATAAGTACAGTAGTTTAAGCGGACGCGCTTGAAAGCGCGAGAACGCGACTCAAGTCATTTAAGAAGCTTGGCACTAACCGCACCCCTGCAATCTCACTACTTTGTTTCTTGAACTTCAAATGAACTATAGAAGGAAACCAAGCTGTCCCTGTGTTCATAAATGTAATGTCGGATCATTAAATCAAGCCGCAAGCTGAATGCGGCTGCGAGATTGCCCGGCGCCCCTGACCATATCCCCTCCCTTAATTTGGTGACACTCCAAGAGCTCTGGTAGTCGACCGATTACCGTGCCGCTGATGTTACAGCCTGCTAGATTATACTGATCAAAATAGCATTATACCGCAGGTTTCCGAACGCCATCACTACCCGCAGAATCCTCCTTCTCTTCGCCATCGGCGGCTGCGACACGCAAATCGTAGGCGAGCTCGAAGCACTCTGCCAGTAAATCGTTCACACTTCCTTGGCCTTCGGGGATGTCATCACCGACCATGAACTTTCCATCGACTCTCATGTTGTCAATCGAGTTGATCTATATGATGGTCAGTCTCGATATGATCTTCGAGTCGCAAGGGTCATTTCACCTTCATACTGTAAGGGTACAGCTCGCGAGGCGAACTGACTCCTCCCGAATTCTTGACTTCAATAAGGCATCGTCTTAGTGTTTGAAGCTGGTTGTAAACCGGCAAAAGAGCTTCGGAGACAGGTTCTGAGGACACCATCAAGTAGTAAATGTAACCATAACTTCTTCGGATGAGGTACAGCAATGTCTACTACTGTCAGCGGCTACTCTCTTCGGGGTGCTTTTCGACGATAACTTACTCGTTGAACATAAAGCTCAGCAAATTTGCCGTCAGCATCCACAAAATTTCCATCGATACGGCTCTCGTCAATCTTGTCCAGTTGTCGTTGGTAGTCATACAGGTCGGTTTCTCGTAATGACCACGCCTGGGTAAGTGATAGTTTTTCCAGATTATTCCGAATTTCGATCAGTTCCTGATAGGCTGAGCTGAAGTTATCTGGCATCATTCCTTTCCTATTGAAATTTCAATAAATGTTAACAAAAATGGGTGAGTAGTACATACCTTTGCTGCACGATCTCAGACCAGAGCAAGACTTTGTTCAAGAGATCGCAGATTTCCTCATTACCAACTGGTATTTCTCCATTCTCAGAAACAAAGTTGCCATCGACTCTCAAATCATCGATTTCCTTCAACTGCGCCTGCAGACGTGCGACTTCATTCGCGGAGAACTGTATGAGAATCATTAACAACCGCCACTTCCGGAGAGGGAAACGTGAGCAAAATTTCTTACCTTTGTCCTGGTATTTGCTAGTGATATGGACCGTAAAATTGAGATCAGTCTTTCTTGAATAGATAGTAAGTCTCCGCCGAGTCTGTCAAGCCTTCGTTGAAGGAACGTAAGTGTTGCTTGGCACAGCTCAACGCGATTGGACAGCAGAGTGACGAAGTAGGGCGAGTATGCCCCCTCTGCTTCCTGGACAATAGTTCTGAGTCGAGCCAAAGTATGCGATAAGTGAATTAGATCCTTTTCGGAGTACAACTCCACTTCTCTCAAGTGCGTGCATAGTCGCTGTATAGTCGATGTCAAGGCGTAAGCAGCAGGGGCTTCAGAATTCCGTCCAATAGTCATGAAGAACAAGGAGAGCAACTGGAAGCATCCATCTAAGACTCGGTCGACTACGGATATATAGGTAATTAGCTTTGTTGTGATCCGGGAAGCGTGGAGCTGACCTCGATTGTCTTCTTGCGGTTTCTCGGCTCGGATGTCATTGAGAAGCTTCACTTGCTCAATCACTCGGTCGTAAATTGCTAAGACGTCAGAAGATTTGATATATGTCGACCTGTCTTGCTTCAACAGGGTCAACTCGTCCCGAATATTCATGAGGGTATCGAGAATCGGCTGTTCCCGTGCATCAAGGGGAAGGGGGAGAGACGGCGTATCCGCCATCTTGCCGAGGCCGTAAGGGGTCTTCTGTGCGTTGGTTAGGTCGAAAGGTGAAGCTGAAATCGTGAAGCGGTGATTTGTTGATTGGTAGTCACTTGTTGAATGTTGAAATCTGTATTTTGCCTATGTCGTAGACTTCTCTGTAGAAAGCTTCGAGTAGTCACAATACATCGAGCTGCATCCATACGACTTATCACTTGAGTTCCCCGCACAAAAGAGGAGCTTATCAGCAAACGCTAATCTAGTGGATATCGCTTCCGTGGCCAATCAGCCTCTCGGACCCACTTTACCATAGCCGCCCTCCCACGTTGAATTTCGCAATTCAAAACCAAACTTCGCGAATCCAAAAGTTCTTCTCCACGACAAACCAAACCCAACCGACATCCCAACCACAGTCGGTAAGTCGCAGGCCTTGGACTATTGGAATGGAGAGGGCGCATTAACTAATTGCCTCTCGAATCTACAGATTTCCACAATGTCGAACGCTGAGCTCGCAACCTCGTACGCGGCTTTGATCCTCGCCGATGATGGTGTCGATATCACTGTATGATCCAAATACTCTGGAGACCATGCAGCAGGATGCTACGATATGGAACAGGTTGCTGATGTGAATTCACAGGCCGACAAGCTTATGACCCTCATCAAGGCTGCTAACATTGATGATGTGGAGCCAATCTGGACCAGCCTCTTCGCCAAGGTACGAGTGAGATCGCAGGAGACACGGCACAGAGGGAACAGGCGCTGATAACTTGGGAATACAGGCCCTCGAGGGAAAGGACGTTAAGGACCTTCTTTTGAACGTCGGATCCGGTGGTGGAGCCGCTGCCCCAGCTGCTGGCGGAGCTGCCGCAGGTGCTGATGCCGTTGCTGATGCGCCCAAGGAGGAGGAAAAGGAAGAGGGTAAGACTTTCCCAAGGGTCTTGCCACTTTCTATCGACTACAGCTGTACTAACTTGCTTTACAGCCAAGGAGGAGTCAGACGAGGATATGGGTTTCGGTCTTTTCGATTAGAGCCTTTTCTCCATCTCTCTTTTTCTTTCAAATGCATGGCCACGGTTTTTCTCTCGGTGCAACATTTGGCTGGTCGAGTAGGCTTTCATAGATAAGGCGAAACTCATGAGGATTCCGAACTGTACAATACTCTGAAATGGGTACCTCTGTCTGTGACCACGTGAAATCCTTTTGCTGTGGCTAGGTCCGCGACAACCTCACAATTTGTCTTGCGGCCGCTCCGGGATTTTATACGCGCCGCTACGGGGCACAGTTATTGGACAAACGGATGTTGAGGGTCAGGAAAGAATTGTTCTCCCAGGACAAAGCTTGCTGAAACGTGCCGGCTGCGAGCTGCATGTTCTCAATTCCCTTCCGTAACTCCGATTGAGCTTACTATCCAGGCTTACCTTTTAGGTTGCATTCTCGCCATGTACCCCAGATGCGTATTCTTAAAACACCAGTCGATCGTCCTTTGTTTCTGCCTACCCCTTATTCCGTTTGCACGGCATTTCTGACTCTGATCAAACCGATGGCCTTTCTCATTGGCAAAGCGAATTAAATCTGGGGAGAGCTACCGGGGTACCAGACCATCTAGGTGGGCGAGCTTCTTCCCCGGATGTCATTCCAAAGTACCATTTCTTTGATCGCAAAAGCATCCATGCCTGCTGGTAGTTCACGTTGCCAATTCCTGCCGTGATCTGGAGGAGACAGTTCACTCCTATCGTGTCTGAAAGAAAATGACATCGCGGTTCAGTCTATCGCTTTGATGTCGTTCAGTCAGCTGTGAGAGCAGCTATGGAGTTTCTCTACCTTCAGTACCCTTCAGTACCTGCCAGCTCTATATAATGGTCTTCTCTCTCAACAAAATCCTGATCCACAAACAACATACCCATTCATTCTAACTCACGTTACACTTTATCCAGTACTCTTCATCTTACCAAATCATCCATTTTACCCAGCTCAATCATCAACATGCATTGCTCAATCTTCCTTCTTGTGGCCGCGTTGTCATCACTTGGAGCTGCCATCCCAACTCCTGTCGTGGTGCCCAAAGCTTGCTCAACCGCCTTTCCAATCCTCATGAATACAGTCACCAGCTCTCAGCCTGAACGAAGTTCGCAAGGTCTCTCAACTTTCGAGTATGGAGTGAAGGAAGGGACATTCTATCTCCGACAGGATTCCTTCAACGGTATGCATACTCCCATCGTCTCCCGGACCTTATCAAGGCCTGCCAGGAGTTGAGGTGGCATGAGCTAACATGGTCCCCTCAGTTTCCGATCCGTTCTATTCGATCCAATATCTCGACTTCGAGATCCCAACTGGGTCCTACGGCTGCCAACTCCATGTCACAGATGCCAATGGGTCCGTCAGCTACAAAGCCGGCTCCTCGTCCCCGGCGATCAAGATCAAGTCGTTTATCCCCAATGCTTTCTATGGCAGCCCCAGCTACAATGATGTGGTCAAGGGCGATAGGATCTCTTCCTCCTATTATGGCGAGCTTCAGGTGTCCACTGTAGGTAATGGATGAAAAATCTCGACCTTTCCTAATCTTCCTGAAGAGGCGATTACTGACTCCCGTGTCTTTCTAGGGAATGGGTGCGCGGGTTATCAACAGTGCAACCTGTCCAGCAAGCAGCAATGGCCAAGCTGGGCACTTGCAATTTTTATTCGAGCTCCGAGATCATGAGGAGGGCACAGATAGTTGGTTCACAAGTAAGCGTCATATCTTTAATGGTTGGACTCAAACACTAACACCGATTTTAGTGACAGAACGCAGTGCTACTCATGGTACAACCTTGAATGGATTCTACATGACATACGATTGTTAGGAGACCTATAAATGTCATGATGTCAGGTGTCTAGGTGTAGGGATCGGGTTCTATGGGGTTGTTCTACGATTGAGATGATTGTGTTCGGTGGGGGTCTGCATTTTCCACTAAAAGTTTGCTACAATGATTCGAATGAAAGGACTCTTCTTCAGCTATCAGCTCCTTTGGGCCGATTATTTCTGCACTACTTCTTCGACCATTTTCACGGTGAGTCGGCTTTTTGCCCTATTCTCCCACAAAGCTTGGAGTAGGTACCAGATTCATCCACTCCTACGGAGTCCTGAAAGCACACTTGAAGGGGTAAATCTGTATCTGAGCCCCGGTTTTCAGCACCTTTCCAAATCACGACTTTCGATACAGAAGTCTCACCTTACTGAAGTCCCATACTTCATTCTTGGCGTATGTGTCCGCCTTCAATTGCTCCAAGACCTCTTCCTTGGACGAAGCCAGCGCAACCATACAACTCCCGTGAATCTTTAACCCTTCCCCCTCTCTGGGAACTTCCTCAAGCAAGGCTCCTATCACTGATTAGCACCTCCGTCCTGTCATTTTGATCAGAGGCCAAAGAGCTCTCGGAAGCAAATGAGGCATACCACCCATCTTCCAGAACCCCTTCTCACGAGCAGAATTCAGACCATCCAAGTGAGCACTATCACCCATCATATTAGCCCGATCCCAGCACACGCTTTGGTCGAGGGGCACCGACGGTCTAATCTCCATGCGTTTTGCTAGCTTCCCGGGCTGATCGGGCATGATGACCAGCCACTCGAATTTCTCTGGTGCTGCCGAGGCCATGGTCCTTACTCTGGATATGCTGGAGAGTGTTCTGAGATTTTGACGCAGGAAGAGGGTTGTTGACATGGTTGGGAATGAAAGAGGGGGGTGTTGCAAGATATGGAAGTTCCTTATTCTCCAAGGTTGGGGGGCTATTAGATGTGGGGTAGGTAGGACAGGTCTCCGTATATTGGATTTGGGAGGGCGCACCGGAGCGGGTGATACACACACACCTCGCAGGTATGGACCTCAACATACTTCACTTCTTTTTCTGGGAGTATACTCAGGTTGAAGGACGACGTGATGCCTTCTGGAGAAGCTCGACGGAAGATTACATGAGTACAGTCTGGGATTATGGAGCTCACCGGGTGACATGCAGTGCTGAATTACTAGCTTTCGATTAGCCAAGGACCCCTGAAAAATAAGGTCCTACGCGTCCACTCCTCACCACTGACAACACCGGTCGGAATCCCTAAAGTAACCATGGACTCTTCAATTCCGCCGTCACTATCTCGTAAGAGAGCCAACGGAGACACGGAAAGCCCCATTCAGGGTCTTTCAACAAAAAGACATCAGACTGTCCCCAAGTCACCGAAAACATCGATTCGCGACGCGTCAGAGGCTTTGATCCAGGCTATCAAGACCGCCGAAGAGGCCTTCCAACAACCACAACCTGTATACAGAACGAGCTCCGAGACTGTACCCAGGGCGAGCAATGCTCCCTGGAAAAGACACTTGCACCTCTCAGCGATGAAATTTCAGAAGTGAGAATTGTCGGCATCTTTTCCACTCTGGAGGACGCCAATGCCAGCGTGCGAAACCATTGTAGCATTTACGCGAAACGGGATGAACCAGATGCCAATTTCAAAGAAGGCCGTACCATAGACGGACGGATCTACTACGAGACGCATGATGCGGGGAGAGATGGATTTGCCGTTGAGATCGTCCGTCAGGTCGTCAACCCGCTGGGTCTGAGCCGGTCCAGGATTGGGGCAGGGATATCGGAGAGCCTCGTCCGGATCCCGAAGAGTCGGAGATGGAATCTGATTAACTATTTCGTGAATGGGATGGGTGGCTCCGGAGGATCGAGATCGGGTCCTTGGGAGGGGTTAGAGTAGGCCGGGATGGAAGCCGGGAAATAGGGGCAGCTCTATTGGTGATTAGGTATTTTAGTTGGAAGCTTCTCCATGCAAACAAATTTTGCACTCAGTACGAGAAAAATTTAGAGGGTGGTACATTGTCACCCGTTGACTGCTCTTGGAGAGCTGGCTCGCTTGACCTGTTTGTCGCCGAAAGCAATAAAGCATGGGAAGTGTCAACCCAAAAGTCGGTGATCGCTCAAGGAAGCCGAGGCTAGCTTGGGCATCAGATTGGGAGGTAACCGGACACTTTCCATATGCTACACCTCTGGCGCGCTGGTCTCCATGGGAAGAATCGTGGCTATGATGCCCTCGTGGAGATACCTCGAAGCCCCCCTCATCCTGTATAGGGGATTTTGTCTCGAATGGTGATCATCTGTATCATGCGAAAGTCCTTAATACGCGTGCAAGCGATCAGCAATATTGGCAAAGACAAGGTGTAAACAAGTCTCACAGGAATGGTTGGGAGAGGTAAGTTCAACGAGTCTCATTTAGACGTAAACATTGATAATAAGCTGTCCATTCCGCATGGTAGCGAACACAAAGAGAGAAAAAGAAATGTTATCTGAACGCGGAGTGGACTGCGAGAAAGGTATACCCATTCACCCGACTATTAAAATGTATCCTCTTATCCGAACCTGTCATAAAGCCCGGATGAAAATCTTGGTCAAGCCTTTCAACGGCCACCCTGGGAGCACCTCTCTAAGAATTGCTCTGCTCCGCGAACGAATTGTCTCTAGAGTGACCGAACCTATTCCGTGAGCTCAGACATTGGCATAGCACCTGTATTAATATTAGATTACGTAGATGAGAATGTGAGTCTGGTGGGACCGACCTGCAATGCCGCCGAACGCACCAACTCCTTGGACAGCAGCATCGGGGAAGGCAGCGACGCCGCAAAGACACGAGCATGAGCAAGCGCCAGCGGTGTTCAAAGATCCAGTTCCACCGACCATGGAAGTCCCGGCACTAGCTGTTGGTGTGGAAGCCGACGCTACGGCAGAAGCTTTTCCGGACGCTGCTGGTGTGGCTTCTCCTCCTCCTGCGATGACTGCGGGGGTTCCGGTACCCTTCTGAGCGATTGCCATCTGCTGGAACTTTGCTTGCGTCTTGTTCAGGGACGGGTTGATGGAGAAGACCATTCCCTTTCCACAGTGGCCCTTCTGCTTGCAGTAGAACCCTACACATCTTTGTGTTAGGAAGCCATCTGAGCTTGAGAGAGTTTTAGACACTTACAAAGAGGAGTATCAACAGTAACTTGCATAGCCATCTGCGGTGCTGGATTGACGGTGTTGTTGACATTGGCTATGAAACCAGAGTCCATACCGCCAGCAAGGGGGTCGCAAGGAGTGGTAAAAGCCGACTGTGTTGCGGTGTGGTTTTGTGAGTAGAATTCGAAGATGACCATGTCCCCAACAGCGGCCGCGAGTGTAGCTGGTGTGTAGACAAGTCCACCGGCTCCACCAACAATAACCTGATGAACTGTGAGCTGGTAAATCCTCTACTCTCGGCGGTGTACGTACAGTATGAGTTGCTGCAGGAGCAGCAGCAACAGATGCTGTCGTGGCAAGGGTCTGGGTTGGTGCATTGCCTCCCTGGTTGACCCAGATGATGATGACCTCTGTTACATGTGTGTTCGCTTGTGCGCTTCCCTTATTGTTATTGGCGTTGCTGTTGCCTTTGCTCTCAGGCGAGTCACTCTTAGATCCAGATGATTCGCTGCTTGAGCTTTGAATCACTTCGACCGATGCTCCTCGATGTCGTGCGATCAAGCCCGAATTAAATGCAGCTCGTGCTGCTAACTCGGCTTGAGAGGATCCGGCCAACACCAACGGCGCCGCGCAAAGTGCTGTGATGGCGGAGAATCTCATGATGGATATATGAATAACTGTTGACTGGGTATTTTATAGACAGTATTGCAAAGATGAAAGCCGCACTGCGGAAGTGTCAAGCTATCAAAGTTGTCGAGGCTGGCAAGGGACCGTAAAAGTGCAGCAATAATACTAGCCAGATGATGAGGGCCTGCTCGTAATGATGAAGAGATGAAGAGCGATGAAATCACCGAGCGAAAGAGTGTGTTCGCAGCAAGAGAAATGAATAAGAACGGGAAAAAGGCATGTTCTCAGGGATAGTGAGATATTAAACCAACCGTGAGATGGGCCGGGCAGTACAGCTGATAGTCCATGAAGGCTGGCGCTACAGGAGCTCCTGAGCGAAACAGGCCGGAGTGCTCCTTGCCTAGACTTGTACTCCCATCCGAATGGCAGTGAGCTTGGGACGAATTGATTTGAGATGCGAGGCAGAAATGCCAAAAAGCTATACGCGGATCGCTTAACGGTTGGCTAAGCGAGACCTCCGGGTGCAGAGTGTTTTAAAGTCCGTGCCAGATTCGTCTCATCGATTACGATTGAGCCGACGAACGCCAACGTCGCAAATAGGGGTCGAAAACATCAGATCAGGGTTAAAGCTATGGAATAAACCAAAATGAGGTTAGAATGCTCCGAAAGGTCGGATTTTTCGCCTGCTATCCTATCATTTCTCAGGATTGGGATGCATTATGAGTGGGCGAGAAAAAGAGGAAGATGACTGGGACTGATTAAGAAAGTAATACAGTAGCGGTCCTGCCAGACTGAAAGTGATAGCAGTCACTCAAAAAACCAACCTATCTAAGGCAAGATGATCGAATTTGGAAGGTCTGGCGTGCACCGGTACCAGGGTCGCTGTGATATTTTGAGGGCTTGACTTTAACTAAGTCTGAAGGCTATCGTGAAAAGGCAACAAGCCAGTCTGAGGCTCTGTTGAATCCAAAGCAGAGGTTGAGCGCCTCACTGCGTCGAGAGCCACTGGGACGATGCATACCCTCCGTGGCGGCCTTGCTCATGGAGCCAGGCTGTGTTTCCTCCCCGCCATCCAGCCTATCCCACGTTTTTGACACCTGCTAAAGGCGAACTTTCGCTCGGACTTGGGAACAGAATTCTGTGATGGGATGATTTAGAATGTTATTATCGCGGACACTCGGGACATGCCTGACAGGTTCATCTCAAGATTCGTGCTTGGCAGACATCCCAGCATTTTTTTGTCCTTCGTACAAGCCAGTGTAGTATCCAGCGTAGTACCAAGACATCAAAAGATTCTTCAATCCCTCATCGTGAACTGCATAATCAATCCACCATCAGCAATCATGAATTTTGAAATTCCCAGCCGGATGGTGGTCTCACCTTGGCCAATCAAATGCTGGGGCAGTGCTGGTCCATTGGATGCATTTGATTTCTCCGTCACCTAGAGATGTGCAACAGTTAGGTCCGGGCCTCAACGGTGAAAGCCGAGGTCTGAGGCTCCGCATGATTCGCTCTCTAGTTCTCCATGCTCTCGATGCTTACTGGAACACGCCCATCTCGAGAGGTGATTTCAAGATCATCTATTTTCTCGGATGCTTCCCTGTCGGCCTGAAGATCTCTGGCCGGATCTTGGTCGAGCCCTCCTCCCTCATAATACATGCTTTCGTCCCTGTGTAACCATGAGACTATGTTGGATACCCAGTGAATTTGAATGACGACTGAACTGACAGTTGGTTGCTCCCATCCTCTGTTTCTTTCAAGACTTGCTCGATATTTTCGCCGCGGGCCTTGAGGCTATGGTATTTCTGGGTTAGTGTCAGCTGTGCCTAATTAAAATCGAGGGGCGAGATTTCAAAACCGACTTTGTATTCTTCAAGGGCGCCGTTCCACGACTCTACAAGAGCAGAATCGTCCCAGATCTGAGCTTGCGAAGCATCACCATTGGCTGCCATCTTCGTGTTTGTGTGTAAATCAAGTCGACCTGTTCATGCTGGCTTTTTTGTTTTGGAAGGAGCATAGTAAAATACCATCAAAACCTATCGTCACGTGCCCGTCGCGTGCCCGGAGATACAATTTAGCCGACACAAAATGACGCTGAAAGGTCAAGGAGGCTTCAAACAAAGGAGCTGTATGCGCTAGACAGCTTCTGTTTCGTCGATTGATATTATTACTACGTCGCAGGCGTAAGTATTACCCCTCGAGGGTAGGGAAAACAGGGGGTTTAAAGTGGAAACTAAACTTTTAAGGCACCCTCGAGGGGTAATACTTAGGCCTGTACCGTGGTAAATAGTACTGAGGTTGCTGCAGGCTCTTTGTGAAATTAAAAGTCTAATTGAGCCTCGATCGGTCATAGAGCGGTGGTTTCTTAATGGCTCAAAGCCCTGTCGATTCCACTGTATAGACTAAATACTGGCTCAAAGATATAAGTTGATTGGTTTAACCCCTGGTAAGATCCCTTGCGAAATTATACTTTCGACATTTATTCATAGGAGGGGGTAGTAAAATTCATCGCCCAGCGAGCGCCACATCAAATGAAACGAGTTGATACAAGAAAGAAAGGGGGGAAGAAAAAATAAATAGTAAACCATATTTATTTGCGACAAACGTTATACTTAGTTTAAAGTTTAAAATCATTATACTACGTATTTATAGATACGCAATAAGCTTTTGAAAAGTAGTTATATACCTTCAAAGTCGCGCTACACATTTGTCTATCATCAGCACGGTCCGGCACCATCTTATTTATTGCTACCTATCTACTTCTCAAAATAACACTCCTCTTTTATTGATCTATCAATATGCGATTTACCAACGCTCTTTTCGCTGCAATTACTTTTGCCATCGCGGTTGCACAAGAGCCTAGTGATCTCAGAAGGGAACTCTATTTCTGCCAAGACCCTGGCTTTCTGAAATGCCAGAACCTCAGTTATGTCAAAGATGAATGCAGTAAGAACTCATTTTCCTTTCTACTTTTTGATAATTCTAAAAGCTAATCGTCGGTTACCTTGAATTTAATTTGTAAAAAATCCCGACCTGGCTGCGCCAGGTCGGCACCACTAAGGCGGGACACCTAATAAGGCGGGACAATAACGGTATACCATTTATTAAACAACAACTACTAATATAAAGAAAAAAAAAAAATCTTTATATGCTTAGAAAATTTTGTTTTACAAACGTAAATTAAAATTATTAAGATGCATTAATTTATAGTAATCTAATACATTGAAATGTAGTGAAAAAATGATCAAAAACTGTTTTAAATAATTTAAATTTACTTGTTTATTATAAATATCTTAACAACTACAACTTTAATTCAAAAAAAACGTCACATAGATCGAAAATAAATAATTCAATTTATTATATTACAAAAGGTATTAATTATTAAATTAAAGTTGGTAGTGATGCACGTATTTTTATACTAGATTTAAGAAAAAGTCCGACTTTCGTGTTCTTCGCTTATTCTGATATTTATATAGCAATTTTGATATATACGCAATTAATAATCATCGTAATCTATACTACTTTCCTTCGCTATTTGACTCTTAATATTATCGTTAAGCTTAGATTTGCTATTATATGAAGCTGAATTATCGTCGCTGATTTTTATATTATTTTCAAAATCGATTATAATAGCGGTTTGAGTTTTAGCGCTAAGCTTTCGAACTCGAGAAAGGCGCTAAGATAAAGCTATTTCGACTTGACTTTCTTCAACTTGATTCTTTTCCTTTTTAATAGTTCGTAATTGCTTAAGAACAAGCTTTGCGATACTTTTTTCTTTTCGTAATCGACTTCTTTTTTTTAGTAGAAGAGGATTTAATATAGCGAGTCTTTTCGCTTCGTCTTTTTCGGCTTTCTTTGCAATTCTAGCTTTCTTAGCTTCCTCTTTTGCCGCTTTTTCGATAGCTTTGTTAAGCATTGATTGAGCTGATTTAGCTGAATTTTAAGCTTTTTCGATAACGGTCAACTCATCTCGAAAATTCCGATCTTTAATATTACGTAAAGCAGCGCTTTTCGAAGTACTAATCATTTTTCTTTTATTTAGCTTAACTCGGCGATTACTATTGCTTTCTTTTAATATTAAAGACTAGCTTCCTTATATATTTTAAAGAAAAGTATCTTTTAATTGTTTTGCTGTAATTGCAGCTAGAATAGCGTTATAAATTACACTTTTTCGAAACTTTTTATTATTAACTCGCTTAAAAAGTGATAATATAATATTCTTATGTTTTTCTAGAAATTCGGCGTAAGCGTTAATATTAGCTACTTCGTAAAGGGTATACATAAAAGCCGTATTTTTATACTAAGAAAGATTATAACCGTATTTTTTGTATTCTCGATATTTATGATTTCTTCGTTAAAGGGTTATCGATAGCTTTAAGCGAGAACTAAAAAGCGTAATAGCTAGCTCTTCTCGAGGATCAAGCTCTTTTAACTCGCGTGAATGAGCAAGAAGCTTATAATCGTCGATTTTTATAGCTTTTGTTTTTATTTAAGCTTTTATTCGAGTTATAATTGCTAGCTCTTCGGCTAGCTCTTCTTTTATAAGCTCTTAAATAAATCGCTCGATAATCTGCCGTACGCGAAGCTCATTAGAAGCAAGTATATTAATCTTTAGCGTTAAAAGATTATATTTATCGTAAGTATATACTCGTCTTCCTTATTCGTTTTCATTTATTTCGAGATCCGTAGTAAGCTTTAAAGCTCGAAGGATAATCGTATGATCGAAAGAATGTATTCCGGTTCGAGCAAATGCAGATTTGATAGTTTCGGGCTTAAAAGTCTTCTTTCGAATCTCGATAAAGCATTATAAAAACGTGTATTTCGAAAAGTTATTGCATCCGGCTCGAATTCTATCTTTAATAGCTTTGCCGTGCTAATGTTTTTCGGCTTGAAAGCAAGCTATATTTAAAAGCTGAGTAGCGTAAGTCGAATAAGCGATTAAACAAAAAAGAATAATTTTAAGTTGTTCGCAAAGAGATATAAACTTATACGTTATATAAGAGCCGTAGCTATCGAATATTAAAAGGCGCTATTGACCGTGTATACGGCGTCGAGTTTCCTTATTAAAATGCTTAAGCTAATCGAGTGCAATATCGTCGGAAGTATATCTGTCGGTATCTCTATATCGACCTTAGCTAGTAATAATAGTATTAATAGTAGTTAAGGAACTCACCCGTGAACCATAGTTCACGGGCCACTTGGCATGCCTCGCTTAGCATGTTAGCAATCAAGGGACCTCAACTTAATTAATAAACTTATTAACTAGCTAATACACGTGATTCCTTTTAATCATATAAAAAGAATTAGCTCCTTTAAGCTTTAAAAAGCAATTAAAATTTAAATACTTTATCAACCGAGTGTTTTGCAATTGCAAGTACTTTAACGACCGTTACGATTTTACAAATATATTTTTAATCGCTTAAAAGTAATCTAACACTAATCAATAGTTGATTTATTATTAAATGATTAATCATAAAGAAGCTAAAACTTTATAGCGAAGATACCTTTCAATACGATACCTTTTTCTTTTTATAACGGAAAAGCGATTCCGTATTAAGTCGCTTGCTTATATTATTGATTTTTCTTTATTTTTACGAAAAAGTGATTCCGAACCAAGTCACTTTTAAAAACAATAACTTTTAAAGCTATAAAAGCCGCGCTTGCTATATATAGCAAACCTAATTAATAAAATCGATTTACGTACGAGCAAATAGCAATTATAGCCGATCGAGCAATTAAATTTACAAGTAAAAAGTCTAGCCGATAAAAAGCGGAGTATTATACTTCTCGAGTCTTATCATTATCTACGAAACTTTTAGCTATTTAATTAAAAAAAACCTTATACTTAAGACTTTTAAGCCTCTCGAAAAGATTAAACGACGAAATATCGAGCATCTTATTTGACTTAAACGAGCTATTATACGCAAAGCTCGATAATAAAATTACGGCTCGAATAATAATAAAAGACTTGTTAAATGCGAAATCTAAAGGGCTAAAGGATTACGACTTATAAAGCTTATTTCGGCACGCTTTCTTACGCTAAGATTAAACGAGCTTTATAATAACGAAAGATAATACGAAACGAGGCCTTAAGTTTGCTACTTTTATTAGCTTTAAAAAATACTTGCTATTTAAAAGCGTATAATGCTTTTTAAAGCAAAAAGGCTACGCTAATAAAATAGTCAAGCTTTTAAACGACGAGCAGCAGCATTAATAGACTTTCGAAAAAATAAAAAAGCAATAAGCAATACTTTTAAGTTTCGATTTAAAGTAGACCGCTAAAAACCTTACGGACGACGAAAATAATACGCTTTAATTACTTTTATTATTTTCGAAAAGTCTAAAAGAAAAAGAAAAGAAGACTTTAAGCAAAAAAGAAAAAAAGGAAAAGATTCGAAAGTTACGCGAAGAGTTTACGAAAAAAAAAAAATATAAAGCAAAATATAAAAGTAATAGCAAAGCAAATAACGGAATTACGAACTTACGTTATATAATCTAACGAAAAGTTACGACGAAGCGCTTTAGCGTACTTAACGCTTTCAATCTATTAATCGTTACGTAATACGCTAATCATTTAAAAAAAGCTAAAATCATTTTAACGACTTTTAAATCTTTTTCTTAAAAGCTACACTTAGTTTTCGGAAAAGCTTAAGCTTAATAATAATAATAATAAAAGTCTTAAGATTATTATTAAACTAAATAATACTCGAAGCCACGAAAGCTATACGTTAAAAAAAGACTTATTAAAACCTAAAAGCATTTCGAACAAAATCAGCTTTTATTAAAAATAGCGTACAGATTTCCGTGCTTAACTTTAGCAACTTAAAAAAAAGATCTAGCACTTTCGAACGTATCGATAAGCTTTTTAAATCTTTTAATAAGCTACGTATTGATAAAAAGGATATTAAAAGTATAAGAATCGCTAAGAACGCGCTTAAAAGTACAAATACTATTAAGCTAAAGCTTTAGCCGGTGACTCGAGTAGCTTTAGCGATCTTAACGATAACCGACGAAAAAAAAACGAAAGAAATTAATAAAAAAATCGAAACTACGAGCACGGAAAAAGTAAGAACGGCCTTTTTAAACTATTAAAAGAATTCGGAAACGGACTTTTAAAAGATCTCGAATTCGAAAATAAACTTTTTAAAAACTTTAAAAAAGGACGGACTATCGGCAATCATATCGATAACTTTTTATCGATTAAACTATTAGCTAAGCATAGCATACTTGCGTATAGCATTTTAAGCGCTTTTAACGATAATAAAAATGATTTCTTTAAACTAAGAATAGCAAACCTTTATTTAAAAGCGAAGAAATTAGCTTTATTCGCGCGAAGCTTTTTTAAAAAGCTAAAGTATTTAAAACTCGACGATAACTTTAAGACTTAATTAAGGATTTTTATTAATTAAGCAAATCGATATAATTTGATCTCCGACGACTATTTAACGGCGTTTTCGATTATGCTTATAAAAAAAGCTATAACCTTTTATTATAATTACGTTATTAAAGCTAAGCTTCCGACTTTTAAAGTAAACGCTATTGCAATAAAGAATTACTTCGAGACTAATTACCGGCGGTAAGTAAAATACGACTATTAAAAAAAAATTTCGTTAAATTTAATTAAAAAAAAGAATTTAAAGACTTCGCTTAACGAATGCTTCGAAAAGCTCGCTAAAAAGCTTAAAAGGATTTAAAGCTTTTTACGATTAAATTTAAAAGATAATCGAAGTCTTGCTAATAAGCTATATTCAGCTTATAAAAACGTATTAAAAATTACGATTATACGAATAAACTTTGCTTTTACTTTTATCGCGGCAATTATTAATATTCGTCGAGCAATTGCGTTTGCTATTAAAACCTTCTGATCTTTCGCTAAAGCTAAAGCTTACGCGAGCTTTAGCGAGCTATACGATTACACTTGCTTTTATAACACTTTAAAAGCTAATTCCGATTTAAACGAAGAATATAAATACTTTATTCAAAACCGTTAATACTTCGAAAGTAAAAAAGCTATTAAAGCTATTAAGAATAAAAAAAGGTGTTTTATTTGCAAAAAGCTAAGTTGCTAAAGCATTAATTATATCCCCGACGAAAAAAAGGTATTTATCGTTAAGTTTTAAGCTTTTAAAAACGTAAAAAAAGTAACGAAAAGCAAATTCTTTTAATACGTAGCATCGATTAAAAGCTTGCTACTTATATTTACGAAAGAATTCGATTAGTTTATCGCAAGCTTATTAAACGAACCGCACGAATCGAATAGCTATGTTAATATATCGAAAGGTTTTGTAATTATTTATAGCACTTTTTGTGACGACCTTAAGCGATTACCTGAAGGAACTCACGGGAGCGCGGGGTTCACATGGGAGCTCAGGAGAATCTCAAAGTAATGACTTAGAATCAACAACTACCGAGTGTAGAGGTCGAAGGTAGCTGAGGTCTATATACACGAAGGTAGAAGCGCCAAGGACTCGTGAACCATGGTTCATGGGTCAAAAGCGGGGAATGAGAGAATACGAAGAATACGAAGGGAAAAAGGAGGGAAGTAGCTTGGCGCATGTGAGGTGCGTCCAGGAGACCTGGCGTGTCGTCACACTTTTAACGCTAACGAAGTATATAAATAGCTAGAGATTCAGACGGCATTCTACGCTCGAATAGCAATAAAAATAGTTTTAAGATTATCATCGGATTAAACAACACTTAAAGCTACGGAAGCTATACGCTAAAAGAGGACCTATTAAAACTTAAAAGCATTTCGAGAAAAATTAGCTTTTATTAAAGATAACGTGCAGATTTCCGTACTTAACTTTAGCAACTTAAAAAAAGGATCTAATACTTTTAAACGTATCGATAAGCTTTTTAAATCTTTTAAAAAGCTACGTATTAGCAAAAGAGAAACTAAAAGTATAAGAATCGTTAAAAGCGCGCTTAAAGGTACGGATATTATTAAGCTAAAGCTTTAGCCGGTGACTCGAATAGCTTTAACGATTTTAACGATAACCGACGAAAAGAAAACAAAAAAGATTAGTA